ATTCATAAAGACAGAATGCCTGCCTGCCACCTAGTAGCATTAATTGGACAATATTCTATAGCACTAAGTACGTAGTCCGTTACAGAGAATATAGCGTTCATTGCATATCGTTACACACCCTTCAATGGCCCCCATAATTGTCATTTAGGCGGGGCTTGATCCTAGGACCTTGTTCCCTATGTGTAACTATAAATAGTGAGCTCAAGAGCCATTGTAAGGGGACACAAACTTTCTGACAAGCTTATGCTATATACTGTTCAAAGCTCAGTAATATTGCTTATTAATATCGTTATTACTGCCTCCGGAAGCTCTGCTCCTGGAACCATAATTTTTGTTGTCTTATCTCGATTTCAACGCTAGGTCTAATATTCTTGTTTTATTCGTTTATCATTTTGGGATCGAATTCACTTGTCTATAAACCGCATATAAATTCAACTGTACCGTTTTTGCGGTTAAACAGTTATATTTGATAAGAAGGGATAGAAATCAAGTTGAGAGTCGATACAATGGGCGAGAACTTTTATGTTATAGAGTGGATCATTTTAATCTCATAAGTATAATTTATTAACTTTTTTCCTTTCAGTTTACTATGTGAGTAATAAAAACTAAAAAAAAATATTGTAGGTTAAAAGGAAACGTGATTTTGTGTGGCCACAAATAATATTTTAATACATAAAATTATTAAAATTTAGTATTTATAAAATATTGAAGTTCAATTTATTAGTTTGGCCATGAATATTTGCAAATATTAAACTTGGGATAAAATATTAAAAGGGTAAAATGGCCTTCTGGCCACTTAAACTTGCACCCAATTGCCAACCCGGTAAATAAACTTATAATTTTCTCATTTGAACATCTTACATATGTGAACCAGTAAACACCTTTGACGATTGACTATACTTATGTGACAATAACACAGGTGACATGGACAACATGCGTGAATCTCACATAATTAGCGCGTGAGAGTACAATAATTTTGGATTAAATTTTTTTTACAATTAGGAAAAATAATAAATTAAAAAGAAAGAGAGGCCCGCATCCCATCCCTTTCTTTACCAGTACACCCTTTCCCCCTTCTTCCTCGATCACTGTCCGCCAACCCCCCAACTAAGGTCTGCAGAGAGAGATTGATATCTACAACTTGACCATTTGAGCATGAAATCCCGTTTCTCTCATTATAGATTTAGATGAACCAAAGAGAAAGGAAAAGCGGCACAATTCAGGAGTTCTTGCTCCTATCCAGCTTTTTGATGCTCTGGTGAAGTTTCTTGGTACATGAGAGATTGAATTGCCATGGTGCAACGTTGTTAAGAGAATTTGGGAATACATTCAGCAAAAAACTTGCAAGTGCAGGGACTTGAAGAAGAAAAACTCCAATCATTCAAAAGCCCATTTGAATCAAACCCAACAGTTTTACTTCCAAATCAAACGCAATAATTTCACTGTCACTAAGCACCTTTCAATTTTCTCCCAAGCTATTTTTTCACTGAAAGTCAAGGGTATAGTTGAGAGGTAGATTAAGAATCCAAAACTTGCATGCCAATTTTCGAATTAGGAAAAACAAAGCAAAAATCAATTTTGGAATTCCAGAAAAAAATTGAACGATGGCTTCAGAGTGAGGGAGCATTGTGGTGTATTTTTACTAATTGAATTTAACAGAAATAAGAAGAGAAGTAGAAAAGGGATGAAGGAAACTGAGTAATTTTGGATTTGGGGTTTGGTCTGAAGCTTTTCTCCAAGTGTCTTCTTTTACTGGTTTGGGGCGAGTGGGAAGTGTTTGAGTGGAGAATAAAGTAAAAATAAAATAAAATTTTAATATATTAATTTTAAAAGTGGGGTCCACAATAACACGTGTCAAGAAATAAATGGATGTAAGCGCAATTGATATACACGCTCGATTGGATGTTTTTATTAGTATTCATTCTGTCAAGTTGAGGTGTTCAAATGGGAAAATTGTAAGTTTATTTACCGGGCTGACAATTGGGTGCAAGTTTAACTAAAATACATGTCTAAATACAATTTAAGCTTCCCAACTACTCATCTTTTAACTTTAACATCATTTTTTTGTAACTTCAACCCAATGTCCAAATGCCTACCAAAAAACTCGAGAGTTTGCTATCACTCAACATCACCTCTTGCAATGCCTTTCACCACATTAAATGGTAAGTTGGTGAATTTATGATTTTATGTAGGGGGATTAAAAAAAATAATTAAGAACAAATTGGTACATTATTTCAAAGGAGGGAACAATTACTTTTTTTTTTTGGATTGAAAAGAAAAATCCAACTTTTATTGTATGGTTAAAGCTTTTGAAAAATAAAAATCTTTTCCAAGCTTTAGATAACTCCGAATTTTTAAACTTGTGGCTAAAATTCTGAATCTAAAATAAAACTCCTATATACAATTGGTCTCCTATACAGTTTTTCCAACTTTTACACTTTCCAACTTGAAAATAGTAGTAGAAAAATTCAAATACTGGTTAGGTTGCAGGATGAAATAGTGTCATCCATAATGGAATCGTCCTGAATATTCCCTAAAGAAAATCGCAAGAGATGGACCGAATCATTGTTAAAAAGTGAAATTCAAATCGAGAATGCACACAAGATGAAAAGGTATAATTTAATTAGATATAGTGCTGCATGAGTTTATAGTTACTCTAGTTTTTCTGGAGTGTATTTTTATTTAATTTTTCTGCCTGTGTTGATAGAAGTAAGAACAGTCCAATATGTTGAATGACCCTATTCTAAGAATTCAAGGAGCCAACAAATAAGGCACGGGATGGATCTCTCACTTCTAAGAGGAAGATTATATTCAAATCTATCTCTCCTGGAAGAGTTGCTAGAGGATTACAAATACAGAATAAAAATAAAATATTGAATGTAATTTATCATATACATATATCAATAGAATATGAGTATATTTTTGTAATTTAATTTAAGAGACCATATTTACTCAAATTATTGTGGTAATCAATCAAAATATTTTAATCTTATATATTAAGTAGTTATGAAAGAGTCTCATAGGTTGAGTTAAGAACTAAGTTGATAATTAGAATTTTATAAAATCAACATGATTTAATGTACTCAAATAAAATAAATCGCATTTTAACATGATAATAAAAATCAATTTAAAAGTAAAAATGTTGGACTTATTTGCATTTGAAATAAGAAATCTTTTTATATTAGGATGAGAAATATTTAAATTAAGGATTTTCAAGCAACTCATTAAAATATTAGAAATATAATAAATTTTTAGTTATAGGTAATTCTAATAACGATTGAATTATTATATTAAAAATAACATAGGGAGAAAATCTAATTTTTAATTGTATGTACTACTAAATAATCATTAAAATAACTTTACCCGTAATTATTAATATAGGTCATGTTAATAATTCAAATTATTATCAAAATATTATATTAAAAATAAAAAAAGAAAACATTTAATTTCTAATTGTACGAACTATTACAATAATTATTAAAAATAATGCTAAAAATTTCATGAAAGGCTTTATTGATAATAATTATTAGTATAATATAACACGGAAAAATTATTAACTCTAAGTTATATATATTTATATTTATATAGGTATGGACTGTTATTTTATTCCCTAGGAAAAATGCAAATATTGAAGAGAAGAAAAGGATGATTTTTTTTAATATAAGTTATTTGCTAATAATAAAATAAACAAAATATATAATAGTCTACTAAATAAGATATGATTTTAGTTATAAAATATGTTGGACAAAAAAAGATCATCCTTATAATAATGCTAACTTCATCTGAGTTAAATACCTTCTAAATTCAAATGAAGATTATTTCCTATCACATTATTATTTTATCATTATTATAAGGCAAAAATAATCATTATCTCATATTAGACTATTTCTAAATAAATATATTTTACAAATGAACTACTTTATTTGTTTTATCACAAGTTACAAGTAGAAAAGAATGATGATGATGATGAACAAATGACAAATGAGTTAGAAAAATAATAAATAAAACTTTTACTATTCGCTCAGCAAAAAGAGTAGCTGTATTGAAGTTAAGTCAAGTGGTAACCTAATAAATAAAAACATAAGTTAATAGAAAGCCACTGAGCAATTTTGACAATACTATAAGGTTATGTAATAAAAATTAATTTGAATTGAAGGAATATTTTTTGAATCTATTGATATAGTTTTTGAATTTGATTGAAATATAATTTTTTAAAATAAAAATATACATAGTAATTTTCTACCGCATTATTCTTTTATCATCATTTAAGTTAAGATTATTATAATCTCATATGGGACTATTTCTAAATAAACATGTATTTATAAATGAACCATTTTATGATTTTCAGCACGAGTTACAAGTAAGAAGGAATTAAATATTGTAATGACAATGAAGGATAAATAACAAATGAAGCTAGATAATTAGTAAATAAAGAATTTTTCTTGATTCATTTAGTTATAACATATTCTTATTCGTTTTGGACTATATTTTCATAATATTTGTAGCATGACGTATATAATTACGATATTTGAGTAACATTCAAAAGTTATTCCATAATTATATAATTCGTTTAATTTAATTACATTGAACTTTTACTATTGAATAAATAAGACGATAAAAATAATTTAGTTAAAACGCATAATCTAACGTTCTCTAATAAATCAGATTATACTCTAATTTATTTAATATTCTTTGATAATATTCGCGCATCGTGCAGATACCAATACTAATATCTTAAAAAAAAAAAAAAAAAAAACCGGTAAAAGGAAAGGACTAAACTTAAAGTTAAANACATCCATTTTCTCAACTTGTAAAAAAAAAAAAAAAAAAAAAAAAAAAAGGGAAGGAGCTAAAATTTAGAAAACGAGAGAGATTTGCGCAACATTTAAAACTATTGAGAAGAACCTTCAGGTTGATCTTTGTAATNNAAAAAAAAAGGAAAGGAGCTAAATTTAAGAAAACGAAGAGAGATTTGCGCAACATTTAAAACTATTGAGAAGAACCTTCAGGTTGATCTTTGTAATTAATCAATACTTAGGTTTTGATACTTCCAGTTTTGGTTGCCGTGGGTTTACCCGACCGCGAACCGACTCGCGCCCCAACTTCCCGTTCACAACGTTTTAACAGTGGCATACACAGAGGTTGCCCAAAAATCATCAATCCGTTGTTTCAAGTTCAAACTTTGTGCCCTAGAAGAAGAATTTAAGGAAACATGTCGGGCATGGGAGATGGATACGTGGGTACGGCCCAAGACGCCGTCAGAATCCGACGGCTTGAAAAGCAGAGAGAAGCAGAGCGGCGAAAAATTCAGGAGCTAAAGAATAAGACTGCTTCATCTAAAGGCCAACCTGGTCTTCTTCAATTCGGGTCCAGTACATCCGAGGTTTCAATTACACTTGCATATAAAGCTCATTCCTTTATTTAGTTATTTATTTATTTTAACTGATATGTAGACGTAAATTGTTCTGTATACAATGCGCCCAAATAGAGTGGAGAACTAACTTGGTATGAAATTGCCCCAACATAGCAAAATGGATACAAATGGTTCATATAGTCGTCCTCAACTAGTTGTTTGGGATTAAGGCCTAGTTGATTTATTGATATTTATTGAAATGTAACTTTAGAAGATTTATGGACTTTTGTCACACCTGAGTTTTTTTTTTTTTGGTAAATAAAAGATGTTACCAGTGAACTATCTGTACAGAGAGAAAGAAAATCAATCTGATTGTTGGACATGAAGCCCCAACGTCAGAAGAACTTCAGAAACTAAACCATACTACCAACCCCACCTATTTATCTGCACCCCTATCCAACTACTTTTACCTTAGTTCTAAGGATAAAAATAAAGTAGCTCAAGCTTCCTAGCCAATCTTGCTTTGACAGCACTTCTACAACAGACTTCCTGGATAATTTGCTTCACTATATGTTCAGGATCTGACTGCTTGTTTTGAAAAATTTTGAGGTTCCTTTCTCTCCAGATGTAGTACAAGCTTGCTGCTAGAGCCATTCTATACACCTCTGCCTCAGCTTTCCTCCCTTTTGCATAGATCTCAGCCCGCTTCAACTCATCATGCCAATCTAGTGCCACCCTATTTATACCTTGCCATTGTAAGATCTTATTCCAGATATGTGCATACAAGCCACATTGAAAGAATAGATGTGCTATATTTTCAGTTTCAGTAACATAGACGACAGTTTTGTGGAACACTCAACCCCCATTTTAGCAACCTATCCCTAGTATTCAACTTCCCATGTGCTACTAATCTCATTATGAATATCCATGTAGGAGCTCCTAGGTTATTACACACTAACTTCCTTCATGACACCTTAGGGAAAACACCTCTAATCGAGACATACATTTTCTTGATAGAGAATATTGCCATTGTCTGAAACTCAAATTCCCCCATTCCTGCTTGTTTTACATACCTTCTAACCTTCAAAATTTTCTGCACTACCCATGAGGCTTGTTTTGGTGCAATATTCCAGATTTGCTGCGTTGTTATATAGTAAGTGTGAACCCATTTTACTCACAAACTATCTTTATTGGTACACAAATTCGATAGAAGCTTACATATGGCTGCTCTATTCCAACTAACCACATCCAAAACATTCATTCCACCTGCTACTTGGGGGTAGCAGACTCTTTCCCATGCAAGTAAAGCCCTTTTAGATGGTTCAGCCCCGCCAGTCCACAAGTATTTCTGACAAGTAGACTCTATTAGCTTGACTACCTTTACGGGTAGCACAAAGATTTGTGACCAGAATACTTGTATTGAAAACAGAACACTTTTTATCAACTGGACCCTATCGGCATAGGATAAGAGCTTTGCTGTCCAGCTTTGAATTTTACCTAGCATCTTATCAAGCAAGGGTTGAATAACTGAGAGTCTTTTTGAGCTCAAGGGAACTCCCAAATACCTTATAGGCAAGTCACCCTTTGCAAAACCAGTTGCCTCCATAATCTGTTGTTGCGCTACATCGTTCACTCCTCCAAAATAAATGGAGCTTTTGTCCCTATTTGCATTAAGTCCAAAAGCTGCGGAAAACTCTTGGAAACAGTCAAATAGCATTTGGACAGACTTCACATCTCCCCTGCAAAATAGAAGTCAGTCATCAGCAAATCCCAACTGTATGATTTTCATCTTTTCACACTTTGGATGGTAATTGAAGTCTGGTTCTTGTCCTGCTTTAGAGCTCTACAGGAAATATTCCATCACCAAAATGAACAAGAATGGGGACATTAGGTCGCCCTGTCTCAATCCTTTCTTTGCAGGAAAAGGTTCACATGGCTTTCCATTTATGAGGATAGAATAAGAGACAGTTTTTAAGCACATCATGATCCACTGAGTAAACTTAGAAGGGAAGTGCAACCCCTTCAAAACTTGTTCTACAAAAATCCACTCCACTGAATAATATGCCTTTTCCATATCCACTTTTAGCATGCATCTTGGAGAAATACCTTTCCTACTAGAGCCCTTCACCAACTCATGACTGAGAATAATGTTATCAGCAATCAATCTTCCCGGGACAAAAGCTGATTGACTCATATCCACCAAGCTATCTATCACCTCTTGCATTCTCTTTGTTAGCACCTTTGAAATTATCTTATATATCACTGAACAACATGAAATTGGTCTGAATTGTTTAATCATTGACGGATTGTTTGCTTTAGGAACAACAGTTACAGAAGTACAATTCTTTGGCCTATACATAACCCTCAGGGGTTGGCCCGGTGGCAATAGACTTGAGCCTTGGGGTTTGCTCCATTTCAAGGTCTCAAGTTCGAAACCCACTGGGTGCAAACAATTTCTGAGGGCCATCGGACTGGGTAAAACCTGAATTAACCGTGGTGCACTTGCGGGAAACTCCTTGCCGAGGGCCTGTGCACCCCCGGGATTAGTCGGGGCTCTTAGAGACTCGGACACCCGGTGCAAATAAAAAAAAAAAAAATTCTTTGGCCTTTACATATCCCCATTCTCAAAGAAGTTCAGTATAGCAGTTTTTACCTCTTCCCCAATCACTTGCCCAGCTTTTTTGTAGAAACAAGCGTTAAAACCATCCAATCCAGGTGCCTTCATATCATCCATATCCTTTACTGCCATGTAGATTTCTTCTTTTGTAACAGGAGAGATCATCTGGAGTTGTTGATTTCTACTCAGCTTAGGCCCATTTGAGAACAGTGGATCTTGCAAAGCAGGCAATTGAGAAGCTAAGTGCCCAAAAGTTGCTTATAAAAGTTTAGTACTTCCTTCTTTACTTCATCTTCTGATTGCAACATCACCACATCTGTAGTTACAAGTCTTCTGATTTGATTAGTAGCAGTCCTATTCTTCATGCAGGCAAAAAAATAAGCGCTATTAGAATCCCCTAATTGCAACCATTTTACCCTTGATTTCTGCTTAGCAATCGTCTCTTCAACCATTGTCCATTTTTCTACTTCAATCTTCAGTATTTTCTCCCTGTCAAACAATACAGGGTCATGCCCGGGACACCTCATTTGCTCTTGTGCCTCTTGCAAATTGTCCCTGATAGCGATGATTTTCCTATCCACAGCATCATATTCTTCCTTATTTAACGGTTTCATTTCATACTTAACATTTTTTAATTTCAGCCAAACACCCTTCAGATAAATTCCATTTACTGGTTTGCTCCATCCTCTATCAACTCTTGCCAAAAAGTCCTGATGATCAGAGAGGTGATTTAAGAATTTAAAAGGTATGCCACCTGTGCCTGCTTGATCTTCGAAAGTAATACATAGGGGGGAATGGTCCGAGAACATAGGGTCTAGTACCATAACTTCCAGATGAGGCCAATTCACCATCCATTCCACATTCACCAATGCTCTGTCAATTTTGCTGTAGATGTGATTGTTTGTCCAAGTGTATAACTTTCCTACTGTCTTCATTTCAGTTAGTTCTGTGTCAATTAGGAAGTCCTTGAAATCTTTAATCTCCTGTTCCTGGACATCTGCACCATTTATTCTATCGTCTACCTGAAGCACAGCATTATAATCTCCCGTTAATAGCCATGATCCTTGTTGTAAGGTCCCTAATTGCTTCAGTTCTGTCCACAAACTTCTTCTATTTCCAACAGTGTGTAGGCGATAGATAGCAGTGAAATAGAACTCAGTAGCCTGAAACTTCACCAACCCATGTATATATTAACTTGCCACTTGCAGTGGAGTATAGTCTATAACATTATGGTCCCACAAAATCCAAATTCTCCCTCTAGTGTTTGAATTGTAATTATCATGCCAACTCCAACCAGGGACTATCTTCTTTATGATTTGTCCGGCATTCTGCTCCTTTACTCTATGCTCGACTATAGCTATCATTTTAATTTTATTTCTACTAATAAATACCTTAATCTCCTTTTGTTTGTACAACTTATTCGTTCCCCTTACAGTCCATGTAATCAATGTCATTTTAGAATTGTAGGGATTTCAGTACTACCAAATCCACTCCTTTTACTACACTGGCCTTTATCATTTGTACCACTAGGATGTTGCTGCAAAATGTTCCCTTGGTCACCTAATGGACTGAACCCATTAGTAATGTTGAGTAGATCTTTGCCAATTCTTGGTCCCTGGACATTCTTTGTAGCAGTCTTGCCCACTGCCATCTTCCATTTGTCTACTTGCTCTGGTTCCTGCGCAACTGGATGAACAACTGGACACTTAGGCGGCTCATCTTTCTGAACATCAATTGTCTTTTGCGGCACACCCAGCTTTCCACCCTTTGTTTGCCACTCCTGCATCTGTTTTTTAGGATTGCCTCTTGGCTGTTGTGCTGGTTTTTTCAGAGGCAGTTCAACAGAACACACATGCCCAATTTGTAAACATTTGTTGCAATACTGTGGTTGCCAATCATATCATATTTCCTGCTTAAATATTTTCCCATTTGGATCCTAGACTTTAATAATTCGGGACAGTGGCTTGGTCACATCCATCTCTATTAGCACTCTAGCAAAAGAAATCCTCTCTATCTTCGATGTACATTCATCCGCATATATAGGATTCCCCAGCACACTACAAATTCTACTCAGTGATTCCATACACCAACAATTAAGAGGTAAATTTGGGAATTTAACCACAGGGGTATTGTGCTTAAAACTTCCTCACTGAAATCAAAGTTTGGCTCCCAATCATTGAGAATTATAGGCCTATTATTCAAAGTATGTGGTCCAGAGAAGATTACCTCATTCCTGTCCTCCATTGTACTAAATTTGATAACAAAGTAGCCTTCATTGTGGTAGTAGATCTTAGGTTTTGCAACAAAATTCCACCGAGCTTTTATAAATCTTTCCAGAGCTCCTATAGTTGGGGTATCCCCTACTACATATAGGATTACTGCTGTTTTCCTTTTTTCTGTCTCCTTCTCTACATCTTCTTTTCTCAATTGCCAATACCTTTTGCAGCCAACCTACACACCTGAGCTTATTTCAGCCTTTGATTGTAGCTAATTAGTAATTACACATGTTCCTTCTGTTGTTGTAAGGAGGAGTTTTAGTCAGTTGTGGACTCACTGAATAGACAAGTGGATATGTTTTCCAGACATTGTTGCTTATACCGATTTTTTTTTTCAGATTCTCGAGACTGCTTTTAAAAAGGAAACTGTGGGTCTTGTTACAAGGGAGCAATATGTTGAGAAGGTGAGTTGATCGCTTTGCATATAAGATTCTTTCCTTTGCAATTCATCTCTTGATGAAATTAACTGCTCTTGTATTTCGAATCATGTATAGAGGGTCACTATTAAAACCAAGCTTGAAGAGGAAGAAAAGGAGAAGCTTCAGAAATTGCAACAAGAGTGAGTGTATTTCCTACTTCGGTGGCAGTCTTGCGAAGCTGAAAGAGTGCAATATGTATGAGTTCTTTTGTGATGTATGTTTAATTTGTGGACTGATTCTTCTGTCACAGGGAGGAAGAGCTTCAGTTACAAAAGCTTAAAAAGAGGAAGATAAAGGCTGACCCTCGGCTATCTTTTTGCGATGATTTGGATAATGGCAACGAAGATGAAGACGAGGAAAACAGTAAGAAATAATTTTTTTATTTGGTCTTGAAATTTGAAGTCTTCATGAGCACCATATTTCTTTCACCCATAAGTTTGCCACTCTTCGGAAAGAGAGATAAATACAGACTTGTTTCAGGTGTTTTCTTTTTTAAATTTTAATTCCACAAACTAAACAACATTGTCAAAGAAGGTTCATGATTGCTATAAACTTAAACTTATGCAAGACATGGGTGGGTCTTGGTTCAAGTAATTTCATCATGTAGCAATTTATGTTTATATATTATTGTACAGCTTAAAAAGAAGAAAACAAGGTATTACATACAGTTGAAACTAACTTGGTGTTTAGTAATGGGATCTGTCGTACTGAATAGGAAAAAGAAAAAAGAAATTTATGTGCGCAAGCTAGCCCGGACACCGCCGTCATAAAAAATAAAATAAAAGAAACAAGGTAAGAATAGAAAAGAAAAAACTATAATTGGAGTAACATTGTATAAACTTGATTGCATTTAGACTTGCTCGGCTGCTCCAGACAAGTAGCAATCTCTTAGCATTCCTTTATTTTCTGATACTGCATGCCTGTCTTAAAGTAAGTTTATATCCAAGATCATTTTGTGTTAAAATAGAAGGAGAACTTGACAAGAGATCCTATTGGTTAGCAAAGACATGCTTTTTTTTTTTTTTTGATGTGAAGAGTGGGTAACTTTCTTGAATCATGGTGCTGCACTTCAATATAAGTTCCCCAAACCATTTTGTCCTTCTAGAGGACCCATGTAACGATAAGAAATCCTTTTCTTAGAGAGCCAATGCCTTAAGACAGACCTTAGTAGCAGTTGTCGCCGCCTACTTCACTGAGTTGTGGTTGCATAACATAAAGAAAAAGCAGCCAGCTGGTTATGTTTATATATTTTGTGTCTGTGTATATATATTATTATTTTTTTCCATTTTAAACCCGGTGCTCTGTTCCCCTCCTTTACTATTTGGGGGGGGGGGGGGGGGACAGGATTGTTGTCGTACACTTTGAATTCTTTTTAATTTTTGTCAGCGACTTGGTGGATATTTTTGTTGGTTAGATCATAGATGGTACATGGCATCTGTGGCATCTTTTTTTTTTTCTTTTTGGAACTCTGATGTGCACGTTTCATGAGTTTTCCCAGTATTAGCGGTGAGAAAAGAAAAATCTCAGCTTGGTCAGTTCAATCACATTAGAAGTTTGGCACGATTTAAGATAAAGAGGGAAATGGTCTTAGGATGCATGAGTTTCTGAAAATAGATATCCTACTCAAAAAAAAGTAGAAATGCACGCAAGCTTACCCGTACACCACTCTCATTATAAAAAAGAAAGTTATCCGACTATCCATGTCTTATTTAATGAAAATCACGCGGCATTTATTGTCTCTTAAGTTTGTCAGGTGCCACTATGGCACTACGTGTAATCAGATAAGCATGAATATGTGATACGATCCGAGATAAACAAAACAACGGAATATGAAAATAACAATAATTAAAGCAAAAACTAATGATAGGTTTGATTATGATAATCAAAAGTAGTCTGATAATGAAATTTAGAAGAAAATCTAGAACCCTAGGTGAACGTCTCAAGCAACGATCGGAAAACTATTCGATAGCCTCCTAAGAACGACAAATTAGAACCTATAAAGAAAGGAGAACAAGATTACCCTCAAGAACCCAAGTTAGTCGAACTCGAACCAAGAGGTTCCAAATCTCTCTCAAGAGTTTTCTTATCTCAAAATATGCTGAGCTCCTAATGAAGTTAACCCTAGGTTGTTTAAATACCCAATGGGTAAAATAGGAAAAGTTTCAAAGTTAATTTCCCAAAAAATCTCGCCAGGCCAAACCGTAGCCCCAACCATAACCCAACCATAACACACAGCTAAACCGTGACGATTCCAGAACCTTATTTTCTTCAGCTCTTCAGGCCCCTCTTGAACCGTAGCCAACGGTTGGTGAAACCGTGTCACACGGTTTGACTTGTGGTCTGGATTCTTCAATTCTCAAGACTCCAAACATGGTATTCTTTGCATGAATCCTCCAAGTAACTCTCCAAACATCATCATGCAGCTCCTTAGCGTGCATCCCTTGAACGTTCTTGGACTTGGAGCAGGTCAACGGTCCACTAGATAATTTGGGGTCATTCTCAATGTTCTCCATTTTGCCCGGACTATCCAGGATCATATCAGTATGTTTATGTGCATATACGCAGAAAGACATCCGGGACACGAGCATGTCTAAACAATTGCATTAGCTAATCGTTATGACATAGTTGATATAAATTGCCTTCAGATTGTATGCCATGGTGCTTATAGCTCCATCTTTTCATGTCTCATCTGCAATATAGAGAATGAAGAATCTGACAAGCGTGTGTGGAGAAAATTTGGCAAAGATCCTACAGTAGAGACCAGCTTCTTACCGGACAGGTTGGGCATTCCTACAATCTTCCTCCCCCAAAAAGAAACCCCTTTCTACTTCGTTTTGTTTTTTATCGTGTTCTCTTTTGGCCTTTTTACTCATTAATTTAATTTGGAATTCAAAGTGCACTTTTTCAGTGAGAGGGAGGCAGAGGAACAAGCTGAACGTGAAAGGCTCCGGAAACAGTGGGTGCGCGAGCAGGAGCTAATCAAAAGTAAGTGTATTTTGCTTACTTAAAACAGTTTTTAATCTCCCGTCACCCGTCTTTGGAGGTGACTTCCTAGAATTCTGAAGTGTTTGAAGAAGTCTAGCTTCTGATTGTTTCTCTTGCTATATTCTAGACGAGCCTCTACAAATCACTTACAGCTATTGGGACGGAACAGGCCACAGACGAGTGATCCAGGTCCGTAACTACCAGACATGAAGAGCCTATAAAGCTGTCTAAACTTTTGAATTTCGCTTTTCAATTCAATTCTACTACTTCCATGTCCAGGTGAGGAAGGGTGATTCCATAGGGGAGTTTCTTCGGGCTGTTCAGCAGCAGCTTGCACCTGAGTTTCGAGAGGTTCGAACTACTTCAGTGGAGAATCTTCTTTATGTGAAAGAAGATCTAATCATTCCTCATGTAAGATCCTTCGTGCTTGTGTGATTCATGTGCGAGTCATGTCTTATCTTCTAATTTGCTGAATACTGGCTAACTCGCTGCTAATTTTGGTGCATTTTCAGCAACACAGTTTCTATGAGCTGATTATAAACAAAGCCAGGGGAAAGAGTGGACCGGTAATGTTCAATCCTGACTGATGTTCTGATGAAGTTGATGCTTCACGTAGCTTTCTGCTTATGTCTAAGAAGAGAAGAGTACTAGTTAGTTTCTTGCATTTAACACTAAAATACCCATTCCACATATCTTCACATTAGTCATTCAATGAAAATAGCATCTCTATACTGTACTTTGTGCGTTTCTTCAGTAAAACTCTATCTACTTATCAAAAATAGTATCTAAAAAAAAGCAAGAATAAAGTACTAAGGGCTTGGAGGTGGCTGTGGAGTAGAGTTCCTCATGCAAATGCTATCCTCTCTGCGGAGCTGAAGAGTATTGGCCACCAGAAAATTAGCTTTTCCATTGTCTATAATACATTAAATTTCTTGTTTTCTTCCTGTAGGTCACATTTCTTTTAAGTAATTTGATTCAGTTCAAAATAAATCTCCCCCACTAGAAAACCATATGGTGGTTTAGAGTTCTTTGAATCCAGAGAAAGATCTCTGTAGTGTTTTCAGTATATAATCTGTGCTTGTTGGTTGTCTTTCTTTTTTCCCCAATTCATTGGTTAACATTATTATTGAAATTTGGAAGATAGTTCCTACAGTTGCCATTTTACATTAATCACTTGTGACTCTTCCCCATAACTCTTTATGAAGTCAGTCGTAACAGACATTATATTTAATGATACTGTACTCAAATTTGGTTTCGTTTTTTAATTCTTAAATCAAACGTGAATTTGGCATTTATTTGCATTAGTTTCTGCATAGACAAAATCTGGTCTAGAATATTTTCAAAGGAAAGTAGCACGAACACATCCTTTCAACAAAAGGATGTACAATGATGGTGATTACAAAAGGATGTATAACAATGTATCTGTATGTCTGTGTCTTGTGTCTTGTGTCTTTGCATAATGCCTTGCGTCATTCTTTTTTTTATGAGATCCAAAAATGCATTGTGTCATGTTATACAATGTGAAATACCTGATTTCGAGTTTATCCCATGCTTGTTGAATCTGTGGCAGTTACTCAGTGGGAATTATCTTTAATATTCTTGACAGCTTTTTCACTTTGATGTCCATGAAGATGTGCGGACCATTGCTGATGCTACTATAGAGAAGGATGAGGTATGAATTCCTATTTGCACATGCACTTTGTCCATGTTAAGTGATTTTAACTGTACCGGGTTCGATTTTTTTCTATGATATGTCGTATTGAATGCTTCTGGTGACCAATCCAAAAAAGTGGGGTTGTTAGTGTAGCATTGTGACATATGCTTCTTTAACTAATAGAAATCAAAGCTTTTCTTTTTAGTTTTTTCTTCCTTTTCCTGTTAGACCTTTTCTGTTAGTAGTTCTGTTCTCTGAAATTAACCTCAAATAGCAATTTTCTTGTATATTGTCCTGGAAAATGATGTATGTCCGAGAGAACATGGAATCTGTGTGTGCATGTGTGTGTGTGAGAGAGAGTGTGTGTGATAGGGAGGGACGGAGGGAGAGATCCCGTAAGTGTTACTAACTTGTTCCTGCATGTGGTTGCTCTTGATGTTTCACATCCATTTTCTTACTTTACTCTGTGTTACAATTGCTATGCAGTCACATGCTGGGAAAGTTGTAGAGAGGCATTGGTATGAAAAAAACAAGCATATATTTCCAGCTTCTCGGTGGGAGGTAACATCTCTTATTCTATTTTCCTTTGTCGTGTTTATATTCTTCACTGGCTGGCGATGGACTTGATTTGACAATTATTATGTCAAGTCTTCTAAGTTCTCACTCGACACAATTATAGTGAGTATATTAATGCTGCTATTGATACCATACCGCAACTAAAGTGCAGCTAACACGTTAATTGCACTCAGAACACCCTTCCACCCCTACCACGAGACATTGTAATGTTGTATACCTATTTCCTTCTACATAATATGCCATTGCCTGTCTTTTGTTGCAGATATATGACCCAACAAAGAAGTGGGAGCGATATACAATCCACGGGGATTAAGCGTATCAAAATCATTTCACGCCAACGTGCGCGTGTCAGTTTACACCATTGGACTGTTAAAGACAGGAGGACTGTATCTATAATATTTACTTGTATGATGCTTGTGTAAGAACAAATGGGCTGCCAATGTATTGTCCTTTTTGGACTGAGAACTCCTGTTCTGGATAATTAATGTACGGCCTTTTGTTTTAACATTTTTATTTCTTCTTCTACTTTGTTTTTCAGTTTCCAAAGAATATCCCTGTTGAACTCTAGATGGCAACGTGCGCACTACAAGTCCACTTTCAGTTATTACTGCATCTTTAGTTAATTTGTTGATGCCACTTGCTTGGCGTAGTAAACAGAAAAATGGCGAAACAGTTGGCATGACAATATTAACTTGTATTTTTAGCTTTCACGATACGATTACTACATATTGTGTCTTTTGCTTCAGCTTTTGTTTAATACTATCTTTACTGCTTTTCTTTACTTGGATTCTTCTCTTTACATGCTTTTCTTGAGTCAAGTGTCTATTGGAAACCACCTCTCTACCTTCACAATGTAGAGATAAGTTTTGCGTAAACACTATATTTACCAAACTTCACCTGTGAGATTATACTGTTGTTGTTGTAGTATTTTTAGCTTTCACGATCTTACCATGATGAAAGGGCTAATTGTATATATCATCTTTATAAAGCAAAAATGGTTAATGGTAATTCTGAGTCCTTACGTTTAAGCATGTAAAACCAATAATGTAATACTATAATATAGAAGCTCATCACTATATTAGTCTACATGCAGAAGCTTAATGGGAGAAATTCAAAAATAGCCAGATTTATCACTGGTCGTTGAAAAATAGCCAAGTTTCAAAAGTCATCGAAATTTAGCCACTTTAAATCTGAGCGAAAACACTGTTCAAAATCCGGAAAAATACGCCCGCAAATTTTACGGGAGTTCCAGCATAAGTATGCTTGAACTCCCGTAAATTTTACGGGAGTTCCAGGATAACTATGCTGGAACTCCCGCAAATTTTACGGGAGTTCAAGCATAATTGTCCAGTATAATATACTGGAGTTTGGAGCACTGGTGCTCCAGTCTCCCGCAAATTTTACAGGAGTTAGCAAAGTATACCGGTCCAGCATAATATGCTGGAGTTCGTACACAAATGCACCAGAACTCCCGTATATTATACTGGACCGGTCCCTGTTGCAGCAAAATAGTGGCTATTTTTCATTGACTTGATAAACGCTGACTATTTTT